CGTTGTGGTGATAATTCAGTTCTTTGTGTTGGCGATGTTTGATGTTGAACAAGTTTATCTACGATTTGATTGTCTGTCTGATTTGAATAATCATCGTTATTTTCATCGTTGCCATCATCATCCTCAGTCTCATTACTATTTGATTGTTTAACTGATTCTTGATCACTAAAATTGTTATGCATATCTTGTTGTTGTACAGTTTCAAGAAATTCTTGATTATGTTTCAATGATAATGGTGAACAACAATCTGGTATTGTTGATGATGAAGGTGCTGTTCCTTTATCCGATAGCAAATTTGTTAAATTTTTTAGTATAGTTGATGATGATTGTTCTTCATTTGTGCATTCTAAATATATAAACACAAAAAAATTGAAATAGGTGTTAGATAACAGAGAGATGATGATTAAGGTAGAAAACTGAGCCCAATGGAAATTTTCGGCTCCTCAACTTTGACTATAGATAATTCTACAGAAAACAATGTCTTATCTTTATGAAAGAAAAAATCGTACAACTTGAACGCTTTAATTCATAGTTTCGACAACATTCTCATGTGTTTAACTCTCCTGAAGTCAAAGAAACAGATATTCTTTGATTTCTTTTCTTTTTTCGAGATAGTGAGCAACTAAAAAAATGTCAGGCTTCAAAAAATTACTCAGTCAGCAGTCACTCTCCAACACTCGAACATAATTAGCATTCATAAATTTGTTGTCCATCTCTGGTTACTAATTTTACCTGGAGATAGAGAACTAAGTGAATCGAAACACATTAAGAGCTATATCTTGTTGTTGATTAAAGTTATTGAAATTGTTTGGAAAAAACCTATTTGAGTTATTTGTCACGCCATCTGAATAAATTGGTCTGTTTTTAGATATACAAATAAGGAAAGAAATTAATGTTCTCACTTCTTCTAAAAGAAAATGTAACGGGTTCTCAAGAAGAAGAGACCCACACGAATGAAATAGCTTCACGATATTCGGCATGAGTGAAACTAGCTGATCCAAACGCCAGAATTTTCTCAACAGTTTTCGTGACTTATGCTGTCCAGATTACTCTTCAATTTAATTCTAAAACTCGAAACTTTTTCCATGGATTTCCAAACATTTTTAGTAAAACTTCGGCTACAGAAAAAAAGCAGTTATTGCCAATCAGACAAAGTTTTTTAACCAAAAAATTAAAGCATTTTATCCAATTTCTGAGGGATGTTTTTCGAAACACTTAAGATTTTAATCTACGACTCCCAGAAAAACCGAGATATTGTATTTTCCCATTTGATCAAGCGCATATCCAATGGATCCAAGAGAGCCAGGTTTCCCTTGAGATTTTGTTTTGTTTTTTCCCTTCCCTGACTGAATAAAAAAAAAGAATTCTTTTTTATTGAACGACAGTGCTGCTAAAAAGACATCAATTGTCTGATATCAATTGTTTCTCTGATTAAATTTCATCTTTTTCGTTTGAAGCACGTATCGCACCTCTCTATCAGAGTTGTACGTCAAAATATATCTTCGCGAA